GGGAATCTGACCCTTCCCTGCTCTGAGTCCCTGTGATATGGTTTAGTTTTCAGGGTGGGGAGAGGCACCTGTGACTAAGGCCTGGACCATTGCGCCGGGGAGTGATCTGAATTATGTTCAGCAGCAACCACTGCAGGCTAACAGGAGGCAAAGGACAAATCTGGAGCATCCAGAGGCCACCCTGGAGAGTGGTTCTGCCTGAGAAGGGAGCCACGCCAGCTTCCACAGAGCAAGATGTGGAGAGAAGAGACAGGAAGACAAAGGGAGCCTGGGGCCCGCCATCCTGGGGGTCAGGCACGCGCACCTCCGGCTGCTCACTCCTAGGAAGGAACACATTTTGTCCCTCACTCCTCCTATATTTTTCTCCATAAGCTCACTTGATTTCTTTTTAATCACTTGCAAGGAAAAAGATTCTCTCTGAAGCAAAGAGAAAGACATAATGTTTTCCATCCCAAGGAAATGGAGTATATAGAAATGCATCTATATCTCTATGGAGTATATAGATGCATCCTCCAAGAAGGTATGGTAAGTCCCTGTTCCTCAGTACTTAGGTCGTGACCTTAGTTGGAAATGGGCTCTTTGCAGATGTAACCAAGGTAAAGATGAGCTCATACTGGATTAGGATATATTCAAAATCCAGAGACTGGTGTCGTTGTGAGAAGAAGGGAAATGTTGAAATGCCGACATGGCGGGAGAAGGCCAAGCAATGGCAGAGGCAGAGATTAGAGTGATGTGTCTACAAGCCAAGGTGTAATAACCAAGCCCCAGCCCTTGACCCCCTCCCTAAGACCAGTGGGGAACAAGCCCCCTACCCTGGAAAAAGAAACCTCTCCTAAGCCTTTTAGTCCTGCCCTCTCAAAGGAAGAGAAACAGCCTGAAACTAAGGAATTATGCAGAGAGGGGTTGAGGAAGGGAGGGGTTGATTCCAAGTAAAGCCCCGGGTGAAGAGGTCCCAAGTCGTTCTCAGAAATTTACCCAACACTTATTTTGTACCCCTAAACTATGAACTAATGTACCCTAAGTAAACGTACTTCCACCCTGAATTGTGTAACCCCCTATGACATACCCCATCTTATGATCATGAAGTAATGTACTTGTGACATATCTTGTGATGTATGAATCAATATGTACCCCTACCCTGAGACCCCGTTCTAACTGCTATGATTGGCTTCTGTATTGCGCTAGCTGGCTAGTCACCATGACTATGCAGAATAATGGTATAAAAGGCTTCTACCTCGCTATTCGAGGCTTCTTGTTGGCCCACCACAAGAGCCCCCTGTAGGTGCACCTGTAGGTGTATCAAACTATCAATAAATTTCTATTATTAATTATACCTGAAGTGGGGTCCATCCTTCTCTCACATCTACTGTCCCATTTCAAAGGGACTCCAGGGTTCTGCCTGGAGCCACTAGAAGCTGGTAGAGGCCTGGGACAGGGTCTCCCTCACAGCTTCAGCAAGAACCAAACCAGCCTACATCTTGATCTTGGGTTTCTGGCTTCTAAACAATAAATGTCTGTTATTCATGCTGCTCAGTTTGTGCTACTTTGTTACAGCAAAGTGTCCGTGGCCAGAGTCCAGGAAGGACTGACACAGTGCAGGGAAGTGGGTGTTCTAAACTGGCTTCCCATCAGCACTGGGGACTGGACTTCCTCCACAGGCTGGGAAGCTTGGTGCCCCTGGGGGCCTCTCTGCTGGCTTAAAGGAGCAAACAGGCCAGGGATGAGAGACACTTAGCAGCATCACTTCATTTATTCACACAGAAAAAGACATCCTGTGGAAATTTCAGTTAAGACTTCGTTGCCATTGCTTTCTGGAGTTCTGGGCACACGGATTCACATTCCATTTTGCCTTATAATGACAAAGTTGTGTTCTTTAGACAATGACACTCTATATTTCCCTGGGGACACATAGAGACATTCTTCTCTTTCATAAATCAATATGGTCTTCCCTAACTGTCTTGAAAACACGTAGTTCCTCCGTCTATATTTGTTTCCCCCATTTTGGGGTACAGGCATAACTCAGGAGAAATATTTGTCTATTCCAAGAGGAGTGATGACATGGATAATAAATAAAATCAATGCCCTGAGTCAAGGAGAGACCAGGGGGTAGAGGGAGACTCTCACTCTTAACTTTACCCAACCAGGGCTAAGAAGGATTGGAAGTCCCTTCTCACCGAGTGTCTGAATTATCAAATGACAGTAGAAATCCAGAATTTTTAGGTGAAATCTTCTAAGTCAGCGGTTCTCAACCTTCCTAATGCTGCGGTCCTTTAATATAGTTCCTGTGGGTCATGACCGCTGTTCTAAGTGTTAAATGTTGGCTTAATTGATTCTCTATTCTGTAACCTGTTTTGTTGTCATTTGTAAAACCTATGACTACACAAAAATTACTTTGTTGCCCCCCCCCCCAGACAGCTGTCAGTGAGGTTTTCCAGTGCGAATGTGTGTGTGTCCCCTAATTTATTTTTTTTTTTAGAGACAGAGTCTCACTTTGTTGCCCTCGGTAGAGTGCCATGGTGTCACAGCTCACAGCAAACTCTAACTCTTGGGCTTAGGCAATTCTCTTGCCTCAGCCTCCTGAGTAGCTGGGAATACAGGTGCCCACCACAACGCCTGGATATTTTTATGTTGCAGTGTGGTTGGGGCTGGGTTCAAACCCTCCATCCTTGGTATATGGGGCCGGCACCCTACTCACTGAGCCACAGGCGCTGCCCTGTATTGTCTAATCTTGACGGCTCTATCTCCACAGCTGACAGCCATCTCTGGCCTATTAAGTACTGGCTGGATAAATGAATGATCCAATACTGACTATTCTGTGCATGAGTGCAAGGATCTCACGTACATTCCCTTTACATGCAATTCTGTTGGGACTGTACTTGATTAAGGAACTTAAAGACTGAACTTTTCTAACCCAGACCAGAGCTATTGTGCGTATGTGTGTTTGAGGCCCCAGGAAAGAGCACAGCATTTTCCTTGGTGCAGCCCAAAGAGAGGAGGGAATAAACGTTTGCCTGCCACAGCTCCCACTTACCACCATCAGTCAGCAGGCTTTTAGGAGAGAATTGCATGTGTGATTTATTTGCAAATCCGTTCAGGTCCTGAAGGAGAGACACTTAGTACACAATGCACTTTGTCATCATGTGTCAACATCTCCTCACTGCAGAGAGCAGGGATACCGATGTGAGGGTGTAATTGGTTTGTGTAAGGGTCCTTAAATCTGCATTTCATTTAGCAAAAACCATAGTGCCAGGAGAGCAATTTGCAATCGATGGCAGCCCCTTGGAGGGGGTCAATGTGTAGAAAGACAAAGGACAAACAGGGAGCCGCTGAATGCAAACTTTATATTTACAGCCAGTGAGTTTATAAATATATATTACATTCTTACAATCTACAGTACATTCTACGCGTGGACAGATTTGGGAGAAGACAGCGGCCGTGGTTTAAACGAAACACCACAAGGGCGAGAATGCAAAGAAATATGGAGAGCTGCTGAAAGGAAAGAATTATCATCAAAAGGAGGTGACAGTTTAATAACCCAAGCAAACAAGGTAAGTAAACTTGGGGACAGGAGCAGCGATGGTGCTGGCTGCAGGAATCCCAGTCTCAGAGCAAACTGATAGCACCACAGCTGGAGGAGAGAGTGCCAAGGTTGAGAGGGTGAACCAGTGGAATTTGCACACACACATTAGCTGGGGAGAATTCAATTATGGGGGGGAGAGAGAGAGGAAGGAGAAGGGGTGGAGACACAAACACATACAGAGAGGAAGCCGAGAGATAAATCCAGAGAGACAGAGATACACCGAGAAAGAGAAATTGGAAAAGAGAAATCTGAAGAGGAGAAAGAGGAGGGAGGAAGAAGGGAGAGAGACTGACTCAGGTGCATGGCCTCTTCTGGCCTGTCCCCTGCACCGTCTCTCTCAAATCCTATCTGGTCGGCAATTATCCCACCCTCTTCCCTGCCTTGGAGTAAGCATGAGCTGGAACTCCCCCCCACCCCCAAGGGATTTGGGAGATATTCAGAGTCATTTCAATTTTAAGCAATGCTACCCCTTTCCGGGCTGGCTCACACGGCCTGCACGTCCCCCACCTGCACCAGAGCCTCATGTCCTCCCGGCCTCCAAGGCGAAGAAGCCTCCATACTTGTGTGGGGGTCAGACTTTTTGCTGGATTGACCCCCCTGCTCACCCTGCACCCTCCACACAGACACCCAGACATCTCAACAACCTCAAGGGTAAATTCCTGGACTGGAAACCCACCATGGATGGTGACAGATGCATCAGGAAACAGCCCTCTTGTCTGTGTAGACAGGTGAGGGCTCGTACCCCACCCAGTGCTGAGTTCCCTGTGAATACGGCCTACCCCTAAAGGCCAGCCTCTTCAAAGATGGACTGAGTGGACACAATGCACAGGGAAGGGAAAGGCCTCAGGAAATTGGAAATTGACCCCCCTCACCCGCCCTTACCTGCAAATGACCAACAGCATTTTGGAAGGTGGCAATATAGCAGAGGAATTTAAATTTAAACAGGGAGAACTTGCTAAAAAGAGCCTGGTTGAAATTCTATGCCCAGTATCCTTAGTTTACAAATAAAGAAATGCTCTGAACTGCTCATAAGATTCACATGTGTGTGTTTGCTCTTGGTGTGTAGTTACAAAGTATTTCACACTTGTCCCCTATCAGTCCTCACCAGCAACTGCCTTGGTCTGTCAAGGGCCTGGTCCGGCTCTGCCCCAGGGACTGAGAGACACTAGCTCACAGTCATGCCTCCTGGAGCAGACTGGGACCAGGCTGCCTGTGACCACGCTCACAGCGAGATCTGCCACTGCGCTTCACATGACATGCTTCCTCCCACTCATCCACGCATGCCCAACCTGAGTTGCGCTTTTCTTCTGTCATTTGCAATATTGAATCTTGGAGTCATGTGGAATTTATAACGTCCAGATTGCTTTGATTCACAAGAGAAAGAAAGAGAGAGGCGGCTCTTTCCTGGAAGCTCTCAGAAGTTCAGTGATTCAGAACTCATTTTTGTTCCAAGTTTTAAAAATCTTCCCATGAGTGATAAACCTCTTAACTTTAGACAAGACATCGTACGCTGGAATGTGTGCACCGATGCTGACTCGGGGCCTCCCGCGCTGGGCTGGGGTTGTTTTCCGAGACTCTCTGGACAGCGTCACCCTTCTCTTGTCCTGTCATTTCATTTCTGTCCCGGGTGCACCGCTGCTACACATCCTGGAATTAAAGGCTGAAAGGTGAGTGAGAACAAATGTGTGTGCGGCTTACACATTTTCGTGTAACCTCTCTATGTAGTTGTGTAGCTCTTTGCATTCCCCAGGGTCCAGATCCTGGCAGACCCACTTAATGTCATCCTCACTGCTCAGCCCCAGGGAGTCCCTGGTGGGGCCCGGGTCATCCGAGGGGATGGTGGTGAAGGTGGTGAACTTCACTCTTTTCCTTTTTGAGGTAGGGGATGTTGGGGGCTCACTTTTCTGATCTTTCCCGTCCAGGATTGTGGATCCTAAGGGTTTAAACAGCTGCCCATTGAGGCTTTTTTGGGAGTTTGTGCTGAGGAGGTATTTACTCTCCTCGAAGTCCATGCCCCTGTCAATGGCAGTGATTTGCTCCTCTTGGGAGGATGCGAAGTTAATGTGGTTCTCCAGCAGTTCTGTCCGGTTGCTCAACCCAACCCAGTCGTGGGAGTGGCTCATACCTTCTTGTTCTTCAAAGGGAACCTGTTTGTGCCTGTACTTTAAAGCAAAGGTCACGCAGTTTATTAAGAAGACCAGAATGGCCAGGCAGAAGACACCCAACAAAGCATACATCCCAATTTCTAAGTCACTCAGCCCCTTGGAGGCCTGCATCAGGTCGTTCTCATCCATCTCCCCGTTGCTTCTGGGCAGGTCCACCTGGGCTGGGAAGCTGGTGAGGTCGAAGGGGATGGTCTGCAGGTGGCTGTCGCCATCGTTCTTCTTCCGCAGGGTGGACCTCTCTGTCACGGTGCCCCGCCCTTCCATGAGTCCCACGGAAGAACTGCTGTAGTACCGGCCCTCTGGGCTCTCCCACTCGTACAGGGTCTTTTTGGGCCTTCTGTCACTGATGTCATTTTCCAGGTGAACACTTGCCCCGGCGTGTCTGCTGTCGCTGGTGTTGGGGCTGGCGTCGTTTTGACCAAATTTTACTTTGATATTTGCTGTCCCGACAGCGAGCACACTCTTGCGCTTGGATTTCTGGCACGATTCGCTGATAACCATTTCGACCTTGACCAGAGCACCGCGTCCTTCCGTTTCAGCGGCAATTATAGGCCACTTGAACTTGGGGTCCTGGTGGATGGAGACCACCTTCTCATCCAAGGATGTGGCCATCAGAGAGAAGTCTTTCCCGTCGTAAATATCCAGGGGCGTGACAGAGCCATCACTGAACTGGACCCAGCAACTGATGGCCGCTTCCTGCTGAGAAGAATAAGTTAATTAGAATGTGCCCGAGTGCTCACCCAGCACCGCCGCTTAGTACAATGGACACACTGTGGCAGAAACGTTACTACAAGAACAAAGAAAAATCTTCCAAATGGTGTAGGGGTATGGGGTGGGAGGCACCGAGGGTATAAAAGAGAATGAAGTCTTAGAAAGATGTAGAAAGCAGGCTACAGCAACAGCAAACAGGGTAAGATTTGCTTCTTATATAAAAAAAAAAATCTGGAGGTGTTTAATGAAAACTGTGACCCTCAGGCTGTCCTACATCTACTTCTGCCCCATAATAAATTACATGTCGAAGGGGATTACCAGCTAGAGGGATCATTTACAAGTGTTACACATGTACATGAAAAATGTTTATTACATGATTTTTAAGTTTGCTTTCATCCTGAGTCTCCACTTTCTACCCACAACACAGATTAAAGACCTTCATCTAAGGCTACGTTAACCGGTTTGATGAGAGTATTTCAAAATGTATATGAAAACACCACACTGTACCCCATGATTACATTAATGCACACAGCTATGATTTAATAAAAAAAAATCTTTAAAAAAAAAAAAAGACCTTCATCTAGACAAGGGATTAGGTGGCCCTGCTGTGTCTGGGACTATAGGAATGGGTTTGCACCAGCCTCTAGATATACTCTTGGCTTGGAGGTGAGAGGTCGGACCAAGGATTGAGGGGGGAAGAGGCACCCTGTCTAGAGAGTCTGTCTCACTCTCCACCTCCACCCTCCTCCCAACTGGCTGGAGGAAACTGGGTGTCAAGGCCAAGGGGCGCTCACATCTCCATCCCTTGCCTTTTCGAATTTGGTGATTTAGATCAACTTCCTCTGAGAACAGTCTGGCCAGGCAGATCATTGGAGATAGCGTCCAACTTCAGGCAAGGTTTTAGTGTTAATAAAGGTGCCATTTCACTCAACAGTGAACTGTCAGGTGCATCGCTTCCCCTCTGCCCCCACCTTCCCCTCTTCTGGAGAACCTGCTCCACCCTAAGCTCAGAATGATGACCAGCTCTTAGAGGCATGTGACCCTGCCTGCCTGGATGCAGCTCGTGGGGATGAGGCAGGCAGATGCTGTTAGAGCCATCTCTCTTAGGAACACCGAGCTGGCCGGCATCTCTGTCTTTCTCTCTTATTTGAAACAAGAAAAGCAGGACTAAAGAGACAGGGGAAGATGAGTAGTGGGAGCTCATATAAAATTGGAGAAGGAAGCCCCCCTTTGGGGCGACCACTACAGATCATGTATCGACACAGCATTTATCTGTAGAAAGAAAATAACGAATTAGACCAAAATAAAGACACAGCAGAGTGAGACAGTGGATGTGACAGAGACTGTTGACCTTCCATTTCCTCCAAGGTCATACATCAGAGTCTATGAGATTCTCCTAATCCTCCCAACATATCCTGTTATTTATGCTTGCCCCAGTGGGTTTCTCTTTCATGCAACCCCTCGGCCTCCGACCATGACAGAAGTCAATTTTACACGGCTGTAGTTTAGTCTTTGGAAGTAAGAAGAAAGGCTCCTCAAATGTGGCTGGTGACCTCTGCTCCTTCCCTTGGCTTAGCCAACAAGTACTTATTTTGTTAGCTGTTGGTATGGACTAGTTGCTAAGTAGAAAACCTCCCAAGACACAGTGCAAAAGTTATTGGACATGACACTGCTTTGCCCAGGTCCTTTCAGTCTGCTGTGAAATCTGAACAGAAAATTCAAGTGCACAATGGGTTTCTTGAAACCACCGTTGTCAGAGCCAAGTTGTGCAGAGGCGGTAAGGGCCCCGCAAACTCACTGTGGAGCAGATCTCAGGGTCCTGCGTTTCACTTGCATGTTAGAAATAGGGGAGCTCCTTGGGCTGCTTCCAGCTGCATCCCATCCTTCTGTAACTCCTAGCTGCCTGCCACCTGATCTTATCATCCCATGAAGACAGAAAGAGGCCTCGGGTTACTTTTCTTTTGCTATCTGTAACTTGCATCTTGGCTGACACCCTTTCTTGAGAAAAAGGAGGTTAGCTTTGGCCGAGAATTCCTATCTGTTACTGAGATCACTCACTTTCAAGTATTTTTTAATTCCAAATCCTGCGCACAAAGACCAGAATGGAAGGGCTGTGAGATCAGCTAATGCCCAGCAGGCGGAGGGCACATGAGGCGGCTCTCTGTGCTCTGGGGCAAGCCTGCTTTAGTGCTTCTTCCACTCTGAACACGGTCTGGGCCTCAGCATCAGAGAAGGGCTTCTGACTGATGGAGAGAGCTGCGGGAACAAGCTCCTGTATGGGGCAGGGGCTTCCCCATTCCTGTTTGAGGATGACCCCTTTTCACAGGGTGCAACGAAGACAAATGGCTGGGTCTACTGTCTTCTGTCGCTAAGGTCCACCCTAAACTCTGTGTTCCTGCTAAGAGATAACGAGGTGAATATCCCCTAGTGGGCCCATGTTTTTGGAAATGATTGTATCAGCACATGAATTCGCACACCACACACAGACACACAGTAGACATACAGGCACGTGAGCAATGCAAACTCACACAACATACAGCACAGTACATAATACTCACATGCACACACAGGCACATGTACACACAAACACAACACACACAACCTAAGACATAATACACACACAGACACACAGGCACATGTACGCACAAACACAACACACACAACCTAATACATAATACACACACAGACACACAGGCACACGTACACACAAACACAACACACACAACCTAATACATAACACACACAGATACACAGGCACATGTACACACAAACACCAAAAAAACATCACCTAATACATAATACACACAGGACACACACAGACACACACGCACACACAGGTGCATGTACACACAAACACAACACATACAACCTAATACATAATACACACACAGACACATGCACACACACACACACACAGGCACATATATACACAAACACAACCTAATACATAATACACACACAGGACACACACAGACACACCTGCACACACAGGCACATGTACACACAAACACAACATATACAACCTAATACATAATACACACAGGACACACACCCAGACACATGTACAACACACATACAGGTCCAACACACACATGCACATATACACACATACAGACACACACAATGCCCACATGCATACACACATGTTGAACACTATTAGTACGCACTGGTTTCAAATAACATAACATAAAACATAACATGACATAAAAATAAAGTCATGACTGGCTCTCTATTTCTGCCTAGGTGACATAATCACTGGTATGGGGTTAATCCCCTGTAACCTCTTTTCAGTGCACAGACTGTCCCCGAGCTCCTGCAGGGACCCTGCAGCAGAAGGTGGCATGTCCTCTGAGCCTGTCCCCGGCCTCCTACCACCTCCCACTGCTGGGGGGATGGAGGGTGGACCTGTACCTGCTTTACTGTGAAGGGGAAGGTGGGGGGTAGGAGCCTTTCCCCTGGGGCTTCTGTCCTGTGGAACTTCTAACTTTTTAATTGTTGCAACCTCTGTTTATGTGTTTATCTTGTGCATCTTTGCTTGAAGGAGCTAGGAACCATGAGGCAGAGGTCATCACAGGTGTCCTTTGCAGGTTGAGAAACACCTGACAGGTGATCTCACTCTTTTATAAGACGCACCTGATATGAGACCCACCCAGTGTGTGTGACCCACCTGATGTGTGTGACCTCCATGGTGGGAGACCCACCGGGCGTGACCCCCCAGAGGGCCAAGCAGGCCCTACCCCCATACCTGTTTGGGCTTCTGCAGAAGTTCCTGAGCCACTGCAGTGGCAAAGATGGCTCTGTTGCTCCCTGGGCTGAGCTGCAAGGAGAGTGACAGTCCTGTCACCAGCTGGACGCCAAGGTCCGTGATGGTCACCTTCTCGTCCAGCACAGTAATAGTCTTTTCAGCCAAGATGGCATCCGACAGAGGAGACAGGATCTGGAGGGCAGAACCGACATAACAGGGGAAGGCACTTCCTCCTACAGCACCGGGATGCCTGAGGCCGTGGGGACATGGGCTGACAAATGAGCCAGACTGAGTGAGAACAGGCCTTTCCTACAGATGCTTCCTTCTAAAACATACATCGTGCTGAGAAAATGTAATGTGCTTGTTACCTACCAGCAAGCAGGTGCTGAGGGAGGGCCAGGTGGGCTCGGCCTTCTCTGTAGCCCCAAATAAACTCCATTTCCCAGCATGCACCACCCCCTCCCTGCAGGAGGAACCCGCATTCTCATCTGAGGGCTAACTTGACAACTCTGCAGCACAGAGCTCCCTGCCGTTCCTTAATGTGTGTTTTGCTTAAAATTATTTATTCTGCAGAAACGACATTTTAAACATCTTCATATCGCCAAAGAGTGCTGGGTTTGATATACTAGTTCCATATTTATGCATTTCTACCTCTCACATGAAACCCACGTGCAACCCACTCTACCCAACTGGAAGGTAGAGCTTGTCAGTCCCTGGAGCATCTCAGTCATGCCATGTGTCACCAGGAGCTCGCGCTCTGCACCATGGGAGCAGCTGGGCTGCTTTCTGGGAATCCTTAACCTTCTGGATGAAATGAGCTTCATCCTCCACTCACCTGTTTCCCTGGTCTATTTCTCTCTTCAAGTTTTGGTGATATTTAGGAAGATGTATGTCAAGAGAACCGTTTTCCCAGGGCACCAGGAATCCCAGCCATATATTTCTGTCCAAATACCATCTTCTGTTTCTGGGTCTGATTATTATCACTCAAATGGCAGTGAGCTTGAGAAACCAGTGTCCAGCAGAGAGTGGACACGTGAATTTGTAACTCAGGAGGACACAGTGAGAATAAATAAAAGAATTGAGGCCCACAGGAACGGATGCCCCACCAAGACAATTTTCTTGTTTAAGGTATGTGGGAAGCTGGCCCATTTCGGCCTCCCTAATACCTGATTTCTGGATGCTGTGTCATTTCCTCTTTGCACATAAATTATCACTTTGGGTGAGTGGTTAACACCAGTTTCTCATTTTAGTCTGAATTTCCAGGCATTAGTATGAGTTTAGCCTATGAATTTATTATAGAAATTCAGGTCTTTTTCTTCCCATTTTTGACCAGGGCTGGGTTTGAACCCACCATCTCCAGCATATGGGGCTGGTGCCTTACTCCTTTGAGCCACAGGCACCACCCAGAAATTCACCTATTGTGTAAGCTTCTTCACCTATTGTGTAAGGTGCAAGTGCTTGTGTATGGGGCAGTATGTTTTGTTTGGCATATATAATACTTAAAAATAGAGTTAATGAATATGATTTTACAAAAGCCACAAGATTTAATATAAAAACACAGATTTCCAACTTTTCTGGAAAAGTTGTAACATGTGGACACACTGGGCCTGCATTTCCTTTGGGCAGAATCTGGAAACAAGCAGCAGACTGTCACTTTACTGCAGTCCTCACCACTCCCTATTGTCTTTCTATTACTGTGTGAAATCAGTCATCACTTTCAGCCCACTGATGTTACCTTCTCATCTTCTAGGGATCATTGAAGCTTGTGGCTCCTGGTCTAAAGCCCGATCCTATCTGTTTTCCTCCTTGAATAAAATGATCTTTAAAAAAGGCCAGCCAGTTTCCCAGAATGCATGTTTTAAGTCTATGAGCCAACATAGTCCCAGTCATAAGTACTCCTCGTGCACAGGTGCCTTAGACACCTCCCCAGTTGCCCAGTGAGACGACCTCCTCACCTCGAAACGGGCAGATGTTGAATAGAGTAGAAATAGAGTCCTCCTGCATCCTCAGATGGAAGGCAAATGACCAGCCCCTGCAAGCTTCCCAGAACACCGTGTCATAAGAATGTCTGCTGCACGCTGGCCTCTCCATTCCCTGCTTCCTAGAAGCAAGGCCCGCAAGAGCGATGGAGCCAAAATACTGTTCTTCCCTTGCCACATTTCTGAGATGCTCGGGGTCTCCTGAGGCCTGGGGTTGAGGTGTGGCAGAGGTGCCCACAGCACCCTGAGAGGATGGACGCTCTTAGGCAGCGACACTCAGCAAGGACAAGTGACTCAGCAAGAAAGTGCTGCCAACCACGCCTAAAACTCACCCTAAAGATAACCACTGTTATGCACAGTGACAAGCAGCTGAATTGTCACTGAGCAGAGACAGGGGCCGGCCAGGCCTGGCCAGGACTTCTTACCTGAATGGTGGTCATCCCCAGCTCCTGCCCGATCAGCACCTGTCCTCCCTGCAGCTTGGCAATCCTGGGCTCCTCCACCTGCACGAAGTCGCTGATCAGCTCCGTGATGTCCACTTGCCAGTCTGAGCCCAGCAGGTGGGCCGCGTGGGCCCCCGGGTCAGCTGCCTCTGCCACGAACTGCGTCAGGACCCGCACCATGGCATGCTGGTACTGCAGTGTGCAGCCGCGGCCCCTTCTCTCCTCGTCATCCTCTTCCTCGCTGTCCCCAGCCGGCCTGTGAAGGATGGGTCAGGTAAACAGAAAGGCGCCTGGAGGGCGGCTGTGAGGGGCTGCAGGAGTGAGTGAGCTGCCAGCCCTGCCTTTGAGGAAGTGGCAGCCGACCCTGCAGAGGTGAGGTCCAGACCTCTGGTTGGACATGAATGGATCAGCCAGCATGGATCGGTGTGGCAAGTAGAGCTCATGATGTCCCTAAAGACACCCGCCCCCCTTGGTATTTACTTTGTGAAATGGCCTTCCTTTCAGTGAGGGCCAGACCTAAACACTTTCATCTGATGAAAAAGTTATAGCAAAAGTGATCAGAGGGTCACTTTCATGGTTAGATTTTAAAAGACTCTTTCTTCTGTCTTGTTTGTGTTTTCTGCCCTCAATTCTGCTCACTTGCTCGCTTGATGTAGTGAGCTGTGATGCCAGGAGCTGCCCCCTGGGACGTCTGTGTGGCTAGAATGTGATAGTGACCTCTGGCCAGCAGCCAGTGATGAACTGAGACCCGTCACCACCCCTGTGAGTGACCTGGACTCCTCCCTGTGTGAGTTGGAGATGAGACCCCAGTCACCGACACCTGGTTCACAGGCTGGGAGAGACCCAGGTTAGGGGACCTAACAAAGCTACTTCCTGGGTCACAGAGTGTAAAATGGCACGTTATTCTTTCAAGCTACACTAAGTTTTGGTATAACTTTTAAATCTCCAAGTTTCAGGGTAAGCCACTAAATTATCCAGCAACAGATAACTACTATTATAGAGCTATGGGCAACTAGTATATCCTGGTAAGCCAGCACGCAGAGAAGTGAGTCATGGGCCCACGGTAAGGCAGAAAGGGACGAGAAAGGTGGACAGGTGGTCCCACGGAGGCAGCTGCCAGCTGCTCCCTCTGTCTGATGCCTCATGTGCAGTCAGCCCTCGTCTCACCCTCCTTGGTGTCCGTCAGAACAGCAGTGGCTCTGCTCACCTCTCTTACCCTCTCTGCTGCTGTATCTGACCCAGACAGCTGTGACAGCATCTGAAACGCGACACTGGCAGACTCGGCCAGTTCTTGGTAAATCTTCCCACAGTTCCCTTCCCCGTGGTGTCAATAGTCCTTAATTCAGCCTCTCAGCTCAACACCAGACACCCCCGCAAAAGTCATTTTTAAAGCACTAACTTTTAATGCATATTATGACTAAGGGAAAGAAGCTGATCTCAAACGGCTGCCCACTGTGTGATTTCAGTGCTATCACAATGGAAAAGGAAAACTGTGGAGACGGGAAAAAGATCAGGGGTCGCGGGGGGTCGGGGGAAAAGAGGGACGGACAGGTGGAGCGCAGAGACCTTTTAGGGCGGAGAATCTACTCTGTAGGAGACTGTAATGGTGGACACAGGCCATGAAGTTGCCCAAACACAGAATGTGCAACACCAAGCACGAGCCCTAACATAAAATTGCAGGCTATGGTTGATAACGATGTGTCAGTGCAGCCCCATCAATTGTAACAGGTGGACCCCCTGGTCGGGGGGGAGGGTTGATAATGGGGAAGGCAGATGGTTATATGGGAAATCTCTGTACCTTTCACTCAATTTTGCTGTGAACCTAAGACTGCTGTACAATATAGTGTGCTTAAAAGAAAGAAAAAAAAAGGAAAGGTCATTGCTGAAACCATCTTCCAGCTGTTCACAAGACCTACGTACGGCCTTGGTCCTTGAAGTATCCTCTGTTCAGGGGCTCATAAAGAGTGAGCTTCCAGGGGGCAGGGTATAGATGTTGCCACTCGGGTAAGGGCCAGTCCTCCATCCTGCTGAGCGCACAGGCTGCAGGAACATTGCCTTGTCTACCCATGCGGGTTCTCAGTCTCGGCATCTGCCCATCCCCCGGGCAGGCGTCCTTACACACGGGTTCTTCTGAGAGGACAAGGTCTATGAGCAGAACTCCTGAGCTTCCACAACTCCATGGCGCTGCCCCGATGGTGGATGATGGAGACTCTCAAACCTCTATCAAACTCTATCAGAGCAGCGTATCAAACACGCAGAGGACAAGCTTCAGATCTCCTTACACCAAGGTGGAGAGCTCAGAGGTCAGAGCTCGGGGCAGGCAGTGTGCGTGTACGTCCCTGCAGTGGACATCCATTGTGTGCCCCTTTAGGTTCACAGCAAAAAGGGTCAACTCTCCCTTCTTCTGGAACTGCAACACTGGTGCGGGCAGGGTTAGCCTCTTCCTCTCTCTCCTCTGGCTCCAGGCAGGGTGTGTGGAGGCCAAAGTCCTGTCAGCTGCTCTGTACATTGCTTGGCTGCAGTGGCTAGATATGGGTGGGGCACATGACCCAAGCAAAGTTAAGATGTAACTCCAGGACTTCTGCTGGGACTACTGGGAAGGAAAGTTGCCCAGAAGACAGGACAGACATCTGGAGCCCTAGGAGCAATGTCTGATGGAGGACGACGCAGTGCAGCACATCAGAATGAGAGACAGCAACAGACTCGGTCCTTAAGATACCTGAGAGCCTTAGACCCAATCATGCCTGCAGGTAGCTCCCCTGTGAATTCCCTTCTCAGCCTCAGCACATTCCATGCTGGTTTCTGGTAGAAGGACGCACCTACCTTTTGTTGGAGACAATGGGCACCCTCCAGCCCTTGATCTGATTGAGTTCAGTGTCGGAGACCTCAATCTGCAGTGGGAGCCGGGGCACCCACACCGTCATCTCCAGGGCACTGCTCAGGTGCTGGTAGGTGAAGTTGACCACCACGTTCACCTTGCCTTTCATTTCCTTTCCATTGACAAAGACGTAGTCACATCTGTCAGAAACCTGTGAAGAGGAAGGAGAGACGTGGGGGGCCGGCAGGTGAGACTTTACCCTACTCCATAGCCCACGCAATAGCAGGGGAGGAGGAGAGAGAAGTACAGGGCTGTTTGGGGGTACACGGTTGTGTGGAGGAGTGTAACAGGTGATGCAGCTGTGTCGCTGACAACTTTCCCTGTGTTTTCTGAAGAAGACTGCACTTTGGGGACTGGAGCTGTGTCCCTCAGAATGACCTGGGAGTTATGTACTGACCACCCTGCTTCTCTGCCCAGGACCAACTATTGTAGGGCGCAAGCCCAGTCTTGGTCCCCAGGAGGGAAGACTGTGTCCCCAGAGCTCTGCGTGGGATCCAGTGTGCCTTGCCCCAAGCCACCTTGCTTAGCTTCTCTCCTTTCCCACCCTGTCCTCTTCGCTCCCGTCACAAGAGCCTGAGAGTGTTCTCAGTGAATCCTCTGCAGATGGCTCTCCCTTTCAGGTGGGAGGCACACGCAGCACGGCTCCTTAGAGGGGCTCAGTGGGGTTCACGCAAGTTGCTGACCAGCCCAGTGACACACCTCCTGCTGGCTTTTGCTCTTCCCCACATCCTGCCCTGCTGCTCACTCCCTCCTCCTGCGTCCGGGACCCTCCCCACGTGACCCACCTGCTCTCCTGTCCACATTGCAGCTCTGCTTTCCCAGAACCCCGAACATGTCAGTTCATCCCTGGACAACCACAATACCAGGTATGACTGCTGTTCCCATATCCAGACAAGAAAACCAACAGTAAAGTTGCCTGCGGTCCCCATGGGAATGGCAGAGCCAGGGGTCAGCCCTGGGAGTCTGGCTCCGGAGCCCACAATCTCAGCTGCTGCCCCTGCACAAGACACCTCTTCCCTGCCAACGTTTATGAGAACAGAGGCCAGTGAGAGGATTTTGTGGTCTTGCCTTTGTCCTCCAGCTTTCCAGGGAGGGCCATGAGTCCTTTCATCCTCTACCTAAACAAGAACGGGGGTGAAACTCTGGGAGAATGTGCTAAGCAGAATACGGGTCCCAAAGATATCCACATCCTAATCTCTGGAGCCTGTGCATGTTACCCTGTTTGTCAAAAGGGACTTTGTAGATGTGACTAAATTAAGGGTCTTTTATCTGCCCCGCCTCCCCGCCCCGCTTTGTTGCCAAAATAGTAATCAGCAGATGACTCAGCGTATTCAACCAGATGTGTAGCCTGCTGTGTTGACAAACGCATATAATGTGCAATAATTACCTCACGTCCACTCTCAAGTTAGTGTCCATACCCATCACCTCGAGTAGTTACTTCTGTGTGTGCGTACACTGAGAACATTTAATAGCTACTGTCTTGATACATCTTCAGCATACAATATTATTAAATAGTGTTACCATCTCCATGTTGTCCATTCCATGCCCAGAATCCATTCACCTGCGTAACCAAAACTTTGTAGCCTTTGACCAGCTCCTCTCTGTTCCCCACCCCCAGCCCTGGAAACCACCATTCTGCTCCCTGCTTCTATGACTTTGAGTTTGTACTTCCCACCTACGAGTGAGGTGACGTAGTATCTGTATCGTCCTGGGTCTGGTCTAGTTCACTCAGCACAACGTCTTCCAGGTTCCTCTACGTTGTCACAAATGGCAAATTTTCTTTCTTTGTAAAGGCTGAGTTATTTCTATTTCACATTTTCTTTATCTGTTCATCCACTGATGGACATTAGCTTGCTTCCCTGTCTGGGCTACCATAGAGAATTAAGGATCTTGAGATGGGGGATTGACCTGCATTCTTTGGGTGGTCCCTAAGCGCAATCCACCTGTTCTCACAGTAGGGCGGGAGGGAGAGAGTTGGCTCCAGCAGTAGGAGGCCCCGTGACCATAGAAGCTGGAGGCTTTGCAGATGGAGGAGGGGGCCAAGTTGGCTCCGGAGGCCAGAAAATGCAAGGAAATGGATCCCACCTGGAGCCTGCACGGAGAGCAGCCTTGCCAATGCTTCAATCTCAGCCCAGTGCAACAAATTCCAGACTTTTGAGCTTCAGAAGCAGGGGACAGCAAATGCGTGCTTATTGCCCCATAAAACCACCAGGTTTGTGGTACTTTGCTATTGCAGCTGTAAGAGGGAGAGACGGATGCTCTGTAGGACCTGGAAATGTGCCCTCTTCCCACTGAGGCTTTACTGAGTGAGCTTGGTGGGAGATGGGGATCCCCATTTCCAGAGCCCCTTGTGCCTGTCGGGGTTAGAGCAAACACGTTCCACGCATCACCTCATTCAGTGCTCACAACAGCCCCAGGAGGCAGGTCCTCTTATTATTATCCTCATTTCACAGATGAGAAACTTGAGGCCCAGAGATATTAAATCACTTTTCTCCCCAAACACACAGCTGGAGAGTGGCAGAGAGCAGGTTCAGCCCGAGTGGGCCCCGCTGCGTCTCTGCACGCTGGGCGTCTTTCCTGCCTGAGTGTCTGCCTTGCAGTCTGCCTTGTTAAAGGATGAAAATGCCCCTTTAGCATGGAAAGTGGTGTGAGGAAAAGCAGAGCAGAAATTACTAGGTTGTTCAAGCATCATAAAAAGCATTTCCAGCGAAGGTGCCTTTTATACTCATGTTGAGGCAGCAGATATAGAACGCACAAGGCAGGCTATTGTGCCGGCCTGGTCTCCAGGGGGTGATCGATAACCCTGCAGAGAAATGTGGACCCAGATCCATTTACCAGTTGGAGGTGTTTGGCATCCGCCATATCCGCCAATAGCAAAAGTACTTAAATCTGATTGAAAAGCTGAATGGAATAAGCTCCAAGCTCCGGTGGCTTTATTATAATGTGCAGCCTGGCCATGGCTCTCCTTCCTTCAGGGGCCAGAGAGTCTGTAATCTAAGGCTTTTTCTCTTTCAAGTCTTGCATTTCTCACTTGGCTGACCTGTCACCGGAGAGTGGAATTTTTGAAAGATAGAAAGAAAAGGGGAAGAGGGAAGGAAGCAGAGAGGGAGGGAGGGAGGGAAAGAGAGAAAGTGAGAGGGAAAGAATGAAGGAAAGAAAGTGAGAAAGAGAAGGAAAAAAGAAAGAAAAATGCTGAAACAAATGTCTGATACAACTAGTTTTCAGAGAAAAAGGCTCTTTAATGAATTGAACTTTCTGGGCCTTCTTGCCCAAACAGGCATTCCAAGAAAAGGAGCCTCAAGCTCATCCTAGGCAAGCAAGTCACCCGAATTCCCCTTCCACTGGAGGAAGCCAGCGCCTGGATGCACCAGTTAGAGTTAGGAGTGTAAGCTAAGCCTTCATCTTTTTCTTTTTAACTCAGTGTTTATTCTTCCAGGTAACAGCAAATGGGAACTAGACTTTGATAAAAAGATAAGGCGGTTGAACAGAGAAACAGCGGGTCTTAATGTCTGTGCAGCTTGTTACGAGACGTAAGTGGAGGCTGCCTGTGCCCAGGACTCGGAATTGCAATTCTGGGTCTATGGGTGCAGGGCGTGGATTTAGGAGTGTATGTGTATGTGTGTGTGTGTGTGTGTGTGTGTGTATGTGTGTGTGCATATATAGTGTAGTTTAGGTCAAGTAATAAACGCAAACAATATATTCAGAGGGTTTGTCGATCTTTATATCTGCAATTCTCCAGGTCCCCCTGCATAGCCACAGTCTGCATTTTGCATATGGAGACAGAAGAACTGTTTGCTAATGATTTTTTCTTCTTTAGGAGCGTAGCAGTCTCATCCTTGTAGCTCACTTGCTGGTGGATAGTGATGTGACCATTTGGACCTATAAATTGTGACTAGGAATCACAAGTGTCGTTTCCACAGCAAGATAATTTCCAGTGAGGACATCCAGAGCTGGCTTTCTCTCTGGCTTGGTTCCTGGTGTTGTTGGAGGTGATGGCTGCCCACTGGCAGTTCTCAGTGTCCATGATAAACAAGGTCTCCCTGCAAAGCCCCAGTGGGCAGGGAGCATGCCCGAGAGTTATACCTTTCTTAGGTCACCGAGATTTTAGGTTATTTGTTGCCTTACTTTTCCTGAGTTTATCTTGACTGCTACAACACTTATGGAACATATTCTAATTGCTGTATTAATAAAAAATGGAATGCACCAAATTAGTGGATTTAGTAGGTTATATCTGGGTGAATAAGATAGATGAAGACAGATAAGATAATGAGGATGCAGCTACAAAGATTCTAATTCCTGCAAATGCAAAACGAGCGAAGAAGAATGTAATTGAGGTCTGTACCATGGGGCAGAGGTCTCTAACAAACAGGCTGCACACAGGTGGCTCCTGAATGCTCAAGATCTGGGAGGGCCCCCTCCTAATGCTAATGACTTTCTAATGATGCAAACTGTATGCCAATGAAGTAAGTAAAAACCAGGGAGGATCCACACAGCCTTGCAAGCTTCACCTGGAAGGAGATTCGGGCGAGGCTGGGGAGGATTTGAGCAGGATACAAGGACCGAAGTTTCATGAGGGAAACATTTGGGCAAATAAAGGGGCTTTACTGAGCTTATGTGCTCGAAGTTTGGGGATAAATGCCTGGTGATATCAAGGCTCATGAATCATGTGCTTTTGTAAATTTAATTTCTAAGAATTTTAAAGGTTTTTTCAGATGAAGTTTATTGTGTACATTTGCAATATACGACAGGACGTCGTGAGGTACATAAAGACAGTAAAGGGGTCCTCCAGTGAAGCAAACTGACATACCCATCATGTCACATAGTTACGCATTTTTTTGTTTTTGTGGCAAAAGCAGCTAAAATCTAGTCTGCGTGAATCCTCTAACAGTACAATTTGATTACCTATAGTGCTCCTGTCGCACCTCAGCTCTGTAGACTGGTTCGTGTTACATATCTGCTACTTTGTATCTTTCAAGCTTCATCCCCCCATTTCTAGGCCCTGCTGGCTCCCTCTCTCCGCAGAGGGGACTCCAGCCTAGGAGGTGGCACTGGTGACTAAGCACAGGTGCTGCAGGTCATGAGTGCTGCTTTCACAGCCCTGCTGGGCCCATATTGCCACCAGATATGTCCCAGCCTGTGCAGAGGAAGCAGGAATAGAGTGAGAAGACGAAAACTATTGCTCTGGGTTCTGCAGAAGGTGCTGGAGACATTTCTCCCCACTCTGTAGCAGGCAGGGTCACAGATATCTACATGAAACATCTTCAGTGGCATCTTCAGTCCCATTTCCTGGGACGATCCCTGTGAGGCATTTGCCCCAGCCATGCTCCTGCCCTGGGGCTACCCCCCTCTTCCCTGCCTGCTAGGGGATAGCTCCACCCAGCTCCTGCTCCAGACCCTGGGGCTACAGGGGACTGGACAGTGATGAAGCTGAGTGCTCGGGTTCTTTCTTTCAGGGACCTGGAATCGGCACACAGACTCAAGCCCACCAGTATCAAGTCCTTGAATTGGGAAGAGAGAGAGAAAGAAGTGAGGCTCTGGCCAGGTGGAAATGGAGTGTAGCAAACCAGGCTGGGGGAGGAGGCAGGGCTGATGCATTCCCCTGAGAGGAGCGAGTGGGCAACTGAGAGCTTATGAGAGAGAGGAGGGAAGGAGAGAGGGAGGGAGAGGGATAAGGGGAGAGAGAGAGGGAGGGAGGGAGGGATAAAGAGGGGGTAGAGTGGAGGACAGAGAGAGAGTGGGAGAGAGTAGAGGCAGGGAGAGGGAGAAAGGCAGAGAGAGGGAGAGAGGGAGGAGACAGAGCGGGAGGATGGGGCAGAGAGAGAGAGAGAGAGAGGGAGAGAGAGGGAGAGAGGGCGGAGAGAGGGACAAAGAGAGGGAGAGATAGAAGGGAGAGGGGGGCTCGGTGTCTGTGGCTCAAGTGGCTAAGGCGCCAGCCACGTACACACAAGGTGGAGGGTTCGAATCCAGCCCGGGCCTGCCAAACAACAATGATGGCTGCACCAAAAACTAGCCGGGTGTTATGGCGGGCACCTATGATCCAAGCTACTTGGGAGGCTGAGGTAGGAGACTCGCTTGAGCCCAGGAGTTGGAGGTTGCTGTGAGCTGAGATGCCATGGCACTCTACCCAGGGAGACAGCTTGAGGCTCCTGTCTAAAAAAAAAAAAAGAAGGGAGCGGGGGATGTGGAGGGAGAGGGAGAGAGAGGAGGAGAGAGGAAGAAGAGAGGGAGAAGGGGGCAGAGGGGAAAGCCACCTGCCACCGTGCCTTCTGCACCTGCTTCTCATTTCTAGTCCATCATGAATCCAACTTCTCTCCCTGCTCTAAGATTCCTTTTGAGCTTCCTGTAACTATCCAAAAATTTTCTCTATTTTTGCTCCTGTGAATTTGAACAGGTTTCTGTGACTTGCAATTAAACAATTCCTTATTAAGTGTCCAAGACGTATTTCTGACAGGAGTTTGCAGGCTTTGGGAGCACATCTGGGATGTGCCAAGGTGGGAGACTTGGCCGTGGTCTGCCCAGCAGGAAGGAGTGTTTTACAGATGATTTTGTTTAGAAGTATTGGCTCATGATCTAAGGAGCCACAGACCACCAGCTAGTCGATTTTGTTATCATTTAACCCCAGCCATAGACAACATACTTGATAACGCCTGCCCAGGGGAAAGCTGCTCCAGTGCACGCAGGATTTCCCCAGCACCTTTCTAATCCCAGGGGGTGCAGAGATACCTGGTGGGCGGGTGTCCCTGGTCTATCCAGCCTGTATTTCTTTCTTTCCATAAGCATATGCTGCCCCCTTGTGGGCAATCACTCACCTCTGCTCTAGGGCCATGTGGCTCTACTGAGGCCAAATCCTGGTCCCCAAGGGCTGGCATGACTCAAGCCTGGCCACTGTGGCCCCCTGAGCACAGTGATTAATATAAAAGTAAGTAGGTGAGGAAAACGAGAGCTGTAATGGGACAGTAACTAAAGGCGTTAGGACGACGGTGTCTAATTTTTACGAGTGTTGGTAAGCTGGGTGGCTCTAACACTGGAGTTGAGAGAAGATACCACATAAAGAATCTAATTGAGATTAAGCCCACAAAAATTGAGTGATGGTAAAACAGCACATTGTAATGACATTACTTTAGTGCCTGGATCCAGCCATGCCTGAAGCAGGTGCCTTTAGAATTTATAGTTCTGTGGGGTCATATGTGTCCTTTTTTTCTTTCGTTTAATCCACATTGGGTTGCATTAACTTAG